ATTTGAATGCCAGGACGGTGAGAACTCCAGCAACCTTCTTTAGCACCACATCACAATCCCCTTCAATCGCCTAGAGAAGCACAAAGAGTCCAAACAGCTTAAAATCTTACTCTTGTCTGATTATCATGTCTTGTCTGGTATGGTTGAGCCACTCTAACTCATCTGTGGAAGAATAATCTGTGTTCTCACCGTCAGATGTTTGGGCCTGACTGTGCAGTTGGCAACAGGTGTGGGGTCCAGTACATGACAGTCAGTCTCCAGCAATTCAATTTCCATCACATATGTATTGTTTCCATCAGGCTGTAGGCAGATTAAATAAGACAAAATATTATTTAAGTTGTTTACCTCAATATTTTCCTTTTGTTCTTAATAGGATACAATTATCCTATTAATCCGAGATTCTCGCATTTACACCTGCTGACTTACCACAGTGTGGATCTTGATCTCTTCGATCCGGTTCAGTGCGTACTTGTAGCCATGGGTGTGCTGTGCGTTGAGGTGATCTTGAGCCACCAGAGCAGCCTCCTCTGCCTCAAGGGAGTCGCACTCGGGCAGCAAAATATTCGGCTGAGCCCATATCCCCCCCAATAGTCCCAAAGCCACAGTGATGCCCAGGAGTTGCATTTCTTTTCAAGGCACAGTGAGGTATCTGAGAAACGAAGCAAGCAGAAAATAGAAAGAAGAGGCAGAACTCTGGTCAACCGTGTTGTATTTATTCTGCACTTTAAACAGGTTCAAGATAAACACTGTGATCTCTCCTCCTCCTGCGTCACAAGTGGGCTGCACTCTGTATCAGCAGAGCTGCCAAGACAAATGGACACAAAGTCTAGGATGGAGCAAGTGACCACCAGTTCAAATCAGTATGTGGGATTTTATGATAAAAGTACAAATGAAATGTCTGGATCATGTCTGGTCAGGATGGAGGTCATGGAAGGATTTCCTGTTTCTCATCATGAGCTGATCAGTTTACTTCTTGATGTACAGAATTACTTCTCAAACAACAAATGACTGGTTAGTCAATGTCAAGCTATGTTTATGTCATATGTGAGCTGAAGTCAGTGGTCATTAATGGTTTCTAAGAAGACTTTGGGTTCAAATCTCACTTAGGGCCATTTTGTGTGGACTTTGTGTATTCGCCCCATGCATGTGTTAGTATTTTCCTAGTAGTGCCGTTTTCTGTCACATTTCACAAGCATGCATTTTATCTTTTCTGGCCACTCTAAACGGTCCTCCAGTGGGGGTGTCTGTATGTTTGTTCTGTGGTCCGTCTCTGTTGACCCCACGATGAACCTGTCCAACTTCCACCTTTTACCTAGTCAACTGCAAATGTTTGTTTTAAATAATGTGGTATTTTTGGTAAACCTTCTGCTTCTATAGTGCATGGCAATGGCGATTTGAGCAACTATTTTTTATTAAAATCAGTGACCTGGATGCATTCAACATCAGTGTCGACATCATATTTGATTGTTAACCATCTGAGATCAATAACAATGTGTTCTTTTCAGTAACAAGAACACATTGTTATTGTGTTTGTGTATATTAATAATAATAATACATTAATTTTTATATCACTTTACAAAATCCACTAGGTTAACCAAACTGCTTGACAGCGGGTAAAATCAGATAAAACGTATAAATACAAGGAATAAAACACAATAGATAATAGAATAAAATATTAAACCACAGGTTCTTTTTATTGGATGCCACAGGATAATTTTAAACACATACAGGCCTTTTCAACAAGTTTAGAGATAATTATTATTCAGTTTATTCATTTGGTGCCAATATCACAGCAAATGTCTATGAATGAGACTTTAATCACATGCAATTCATTTTCATTGTAATTATTATACAGGTCAGTCAGTCCTCCTGAGCAAACACGTGATGACAGTGGACAGGAACAACTCTCTGGTGACAAGAAAAGTTTCCCAGCTCATTTAATGGATTTGATTAAAAAAAAAGAAGAAGTATGATCTACTGTACCTTCAGTTTGTTTATAGAGGACAGTTTTATTTGAAAAGACTAAACTTCTTCCTGGATTTAAAGGCAGGCATGGTGTCTGTGTCACAGACACAACCTGGGAGTTGGTTCCACAGGAGAGGAGCCGGATACTGTAACTAAACCATCTACCTCTCATTCTAGATGCTGTAAGAAGCACCAGTGATACAGGCATATCAGATTATGACTATTAATCCTTAGTTGAATGGCCAAGCAATATAGGGGATACAGCAAATAAATTCAGAAACAGCAAGAAAAACAACTATAAATATGAGAGCAATGGGTGAAAAAAGTAAAATACAAGATTTATACACATCAATGCAGTTGCAGATGTGAAACTGCTGAAAGTGATACAGAAAGGATGTCCAAAATGCAACATTTGTGGCCCTCTCAATTCCAGAATAAAGTAAATCGGACGTGCAAAAACCAGCATTTCTTTCTATTTTTAGCGTGACATGTTCACAGACAAGTAAAGTCTTCAGTCAAAGAAAAAGATACAACAGTAACTGTTTCTCATTCATTAGCCAGGTTTATGAATTCATTTTAATTTTGTGGCAAATAGAACCTGAAACATCCAGCCAATTTTACTCACAGACAGCCTGGGCGCTGACATTGATCTGCAGGCGCTTTAATCTCGGCGACTTGCATTCTGGATCTAAAAGGCATCAATTGACAGAAGATAAAATAGAGTAATACGATCTCTTCTATTCATTTTCATCAGACCTCACATTGATACATTTTGAATCAGGAAGTCGGTCATTACAGGCTTTCCTTACAAACGTCGGTGTGGTGGCCCAGTATTCATTTCCAAATATATAATGAAAATACAAGTAATGTGTACTGATTTAATGACGAAATAATGACTTTGAGAATTTTACGTTACATTCTGCATTAGTCAATCCTCCATAGTGATGCATTAACTCATTTTCAGTGATTTTATCTTGGTTCCATGCTCAAACAGTCCTATTGTGTAACCAGCTGCCTGTCTCCACCGAGGTCAGAGAGGAGCCTTACAAAGCGGGGCCCCTCAGATCAGCGACTGAACTCTTCAGAAGAGGATGTTTGTCAATGGCAGGGGGCATATTTGAGGGCCAGTGACACTCACCGCTGCCGTCCTGGATATTTGTTTTGTATAAGACCATCTGCACAACACACAAGTATCACTCCAGGTCAGGAGCAAACAGAGGTACTGATCTGACTTTTCCTGGTAAAATTCCAGCGTTTTCCTCACACAGGCAAACTGCTAGTAAAGGAGGCCATCTCAAAGTTGTCAACTTAAGAGAATATTTTGGTACAAACGCATGAGAAAAACAATCTTTGGACAGAGTGGGAAATCTAAAATTATAATGTTTGTATTGGGACATGCATTTATCCACTGATTTCCATTTCTTTTGAGTGTTTTTACACACTTCATTGTTTCAGAACATCAAACCAACTTAAAGATTAATCATAGACAACACAAGTAAACTTAAAATGGAGTTTCTGAAGGGACAGTATTATGTAAAATCATGTTATGTCATTAACTTGAGTGTTGCTTTGATTCTTTCACGCATGTTTGAGAAATGCTTTATTCTCCTGAGGCAAACATTCAGCTGTGCCAAACACCTGGGTGGGCCTCGCACTGCCTTTGAGATGCAGCTCGAAGAGCTTCTTCAGCTTCCTGTGACCACTTCCTCACAGTCATTTTCCTTACAGATAGTCTCTGGACAAGGGATTTATATTCAGAGCAGGGGAAAGCAAAATTGTGATCTGCTTTCTCCAAAGGAAGTATTGATTTGGAGATATATAAATCCTTGACATTTGTATAAATGTAGCCTACCTCAGGAAGGACAGTGAACGCCACGTCAGATTAAAGTCTACATCCAAAGCTCTACAAGGTTAAAGCAGCAGACACATCTGAGCATCTGCTGTTTTGAAGCAGGGCTGCCCAGCTGAACAGCTGCACAGAAAGTCAAAGGGAGGTCCAGAAGGAGAAGAGAACTGGTCTGGGGAAGAAAAAATACAAGATGTCAAATCTGTGAAAATCTGGTCTGGTCTGATTCAAAATGGATGAACATTTTAACACCTTCTGAAAAATCAAAATGATTTCCTAAAAAACTTAAAAAGAAAAAAAAACATAATAGACTTATCTATAAATGAGTTAAAAAGTAAAAAAAATAAATAAATAAAAAAAATCACCAAACAATGTTTTCAGCGTATAAATGAGGAAGATTTTCTTCCCCTTTTTATTTTAAAATATAAAAAAAAACCCCGAAATCAATTGAATGTTTGACGCGCCCCCCCCCAAAAAAACAATTACTGAAAGTAGTCTGTTTTATTTCAGGGACCACTAGAGGGCGCTGTGGGAGCCTCAGAAAGTTTGAGGGAAGATGAAAAACAAAAGGCAAAAATACAAAAAAAATTGAGCCCCGTAAATCTTTTAATCTTAAAATCTTAATCATAATTTTTGTTTTAGTTTTTCTTCTTTTTTATTATAAAATATGAATTATAATAATTGATTTAACAAATGTTATTTCTGATGCCAATTTTCTGCTGGGCTGCCAGTCAAATTCATCAAGCTGCTTTGCTCCTCAAGTTAGAATAATAAGCAAGAAATGGAAAAGTTTCTGACAAGAAAAAGATGAACAGAACTGCTGCAAACAAAATATAAGAACTGTGGGAACAAAATAAAATTAGATGTGATTAATGTAAGATATATATTTTCTTACAATCAAGAGAAGTTTGAGATGAAAAATTTTATCTGGTAATAAAGTCATAATATATTATCTGATGATGAATATAATAATTGCTGAATAATGAATAAAAATATAATACCCTATTAGGTAACATATCCTATATTACTTAATAGGATATGTGATGTGTCTGTGCGTATTAAGAATGAAGTTATTTAGATGACACATCCCCTTATCTATCTATCTATCTATCTATCTATCTATCTATCTATCTATCTATCTATCTATCTATCTATCTATCTATCTATCTATCGCTCAGTCTTGTCTTGTTATTGAACTGGTCGTTTCTGATTGGCTAACACAGGAATGACGCATTTTGTATGCGACTCCCAATGTGGAGACTCTTGTTGCTACTTTCGTCATTGGCTCATCTCGTTTAATTTGATATGTAACAGCTTAAACTACTAACTTTCCGCGCAGTTCTACTGTGAGACGTACTGCGGGCCCAGAACTCTCACCGAGCGGAGGTTTCATCAAATCAAGCGGAGGAAATGCAGGTAAGGCCGACTGTAGGAAGCTTCGTCAGAAGCCCCATGTTCTGCTGCTGTGCCAAGGGAACCTAGCTCTGCGGCTAGCTGCTCCGCCGGGGACTCTGCTTGGTAACACGTGCCAAGCTGAGGCCGGACCAGGCTGACAACCTGGAGGAAAAGCAAATGTTAGCAAAGCGTCGGAGGTCCGTGTGTTTGTGCTCCTGCGTGGGTCTAATACTGGACACGTGGGCTCCCACAATGCCATGCAGAGCCTCGCGTAGAGCTCAGGCTTTTTAACGCTGTGAGGCAGAAGTATCTCATGTGAAGGATAGGTTCCTCACAGAAAGTAGCACCCAGTTTTACAGTGATAATTCAGTTTAATAACATATTTGTTAAATTGTAGAGAGAGTCTATGGGTTAACCATGAATATTAGCAGCAAAGTAAATGAAAAGAAATGCTTATAAACAAGTTGTTTTTAAAAAGCAACTAAGCACACAATAAAAATACTTTTAATGTTAAAAAAACAGCTATGCATGTTTGCAAAAATATTCTTTGCAAAAAATTCAAAATTCTTTGCAAAATATCTCAATTTTGTCCAGTTGGATGGAGAGTGATTCTGAACACAAGTGTTCCAGTCCTGCCACAGATTTCTAATTGAATTTAGTTTTGTACTTTGACTGGACCATTCTAACTCATTAATGTGCTTTGAATGTAAACCATTTCACTGTGCTCACTCTAACTTGTATGATAATGGTGAACCAGTCTTTCTGGTCTTGCAGCCTCTGACAGGTTTCCTTTCGAGACTGACCTGCTGAAGAAAAGTGTTTTGTCCACTTCTTCAACTGCTATTGCCAAAACTACAGGCAGAACACAAGTCTAAAACATAAATTTGACGTCATCGTTCCCAACTTGTCCTTCTGTTTGCTGATTGACCCTATAGAAATTCAACTGGAGAAATCCACTTAAATGGGAGAAAACCCAGACTGAAGAGTGAAGGAAGATGAGAATCAAGCAAAATTGTATAAGAAGGCAATGATCAGGCTAAAAATAAATAAATAAAAAAGTGGAAACACAGGATTTTTTTTACACCTTGGCACTACTTTGATTCAGTCCCAATTAAAAATCCTAATTAAGTCCAATGAGGAGCAAAACATCCCACATGATTTCTGTTGCTAGTCATTGGTGTCAGGAGTTTTCAAGCTCCTGAGCTTTTTCTTCACAGAGCAGCCCTCCCCCACCACTCCCACACTCAGTTCCTTCAGACTAGCCAGCATCAGTTAGCAAACATTATACAAGCTGCTACTTAGTACTGGTTAAAAACATTGCGAAAGGGTTAATAGAGGAGCGATGTTTTGATGACTTCATGAAGGCAGAGTTTTTTTTGTAAGTTAGAGACTAGGGGTTAAATCACGAAGCCAAATTATTTTTTCAAGTCATATTTATATTTATATTATAGCTTTATAACAATGATGTGCTGGAAAACACATAATGCTGCTGACTTAACTTTGCACGATGCACGATATATCAGCACTAAAATCCGTATCCGCCGATGTTGGTAATTTGATAGCATATCGGTATCAAGCCGATAAATAAAACTGAGTGAACAGTCGATATTTATTTCCATCTTGTTGCTGTTTGTTTCTGGAAGGGGAATGGAGATTGGAAAGGGCAGTTGATTGAAGGGGTAGTAAAACATATGCATACTATTAGTAAATATTGGCTATAACAGCAGTATTGATATGGACTCAACTTTTTATATTGGTGCATCAATTAAAAAAAAAAAGCAGAAATATGTTTGATGTTTGTGCTGAACTGATGCTTCTCTGTTGCAGAGTTGGCGTGGACACCCATGAAGACACTTGCGTTACTTCGGCAAACAGCGTCCGCATTCTCCCTGAGATTTGCCGCTTGATCTAGCGAAGGGCGTCTGGACCATGGTGTGAAACGCCGGGAGTCCGTCTGTTCCAAACAGGAAGCCAGGGGGTCCAGCTCGGCCGCTGCCCCTCCTCACATGTGTCGCTCTGTCAAACAGAAGGCTTCCCACAGCTGTGCGCTCACATGTGAGTCCACGTGCATCGGCCTCTGCCAGATGGAGCAAACGCGGAGCCGCTGGAGGAAGCCAAGGAGCCTGTCCTGGAGACGGGCGTTCATGTCGTCCGTCAAGGGCGTGTCCCATCTGTCTTGGCGGGATAAGAGACGGTTGTACTATAAGCTGCAGTTCTGGCTGTGGAGGAAGCGCAGCAAGAAGTGCCGCTTCTGGAAGGTCCGGACGCGACGGCGGCGGTGCGGCTCCGGGGTCCGTACAGCCACAGACACTGAACTTCATTTGAAATCACAGAAAACACTTTTGTTAGAGAACAACAACAACTCGGAAGTAAAATCCCCAGAATCCATAAAAACCCGTCTCGGTCCAGATGCTGGGGGTTCTGGAGAAGTCCGTCAGAACGGGCTGGGCAGCTGGAGCCAATCAGAAAGGGTTTCAGGTTCGTCTGATGCAGGCAGCGTCAGTCAGACCTCACCGACAGCAGCATCGCTGCCCGACAGCGTTGAACCTTCTGGACGACCCAAGGGCCTTCTTCACCCTCTAGAACTTTCCCACACCTTGCGACCTCTGCAGGGCGCCGACGATACCGCACCGCTCAGGTCACAGATGGGTTCATTAGAACACAGTCCTGATCTCCAGCGGAGCGAGAGTGAAAAGACAACATCCTGTGTGAATGAAGCCAACGCTGACACTCTGACCAGGGAGATCCAAGGTCAGTTCACCGTCCCCTGAGGGATGGGCGATACGCCGGAAAAACGTATCACAATATATCGAAGATATCGATAATTATTGATCCGTATTTGTTTTAAATTTTAAATATCTGAAACGCTGCCAAACTGGAGTCGAACATGAAACAGCTCATGCGCAAGTTACTCAAGAGGTTGTTGCTAGGTAACCAAAAAGAGTACATAAATCCCCACGGTAACAATCAGTGTACCAGAGGAGAATTTTGTTTTCACAGCAGAAGCAGCAGCAGCTGTGGATACTTTTGCTGACTATATAAAAAATACTAAAAATGAGCTGGACTGAATATTTAGAATATGACTCCAGGATATTAGAAAATCGTGCAATTATGTTATTGTTCAATATGGTAGAAATAATTCTGTAGCATTTATGTTTTATGTAATAAATCCATGTTTTCCTCACTGCTCCACCCAACAACTCGCTGTATATATTGGTGGCATCCAAAGTGAAAATTCAGACATACTTTGCATTCCAAACAGTCCTTTTATGGATATTACTTATATTGCTATAATTTGATTTTTGTAACGTATCGTGCAGATCAAATTAGTGCAACATTTTTGCACACTTTAAAAAAATGTTCATATAGAATCCTGATCAAATGCATGAAGGTTTTTGATGACAAAATGTTTAGAATGTCTGTTCCTCACAGCTTTTCCTTTTTTTTTTTTTCTTCCAGACTTCTTGGAAGTCTTCTACAGGCGATACGGAAGCTTCATTCCGCTTCATAAGAGTGACGTTTTGAGGCATCTGAAGAGAAAGTTCAACTCTGATTTTAGTGACAGGTGAAGGCTTGAGCCAACCCAAAGTAGCTGCGTCATGTTGCTGGATGAGACCCTAAAGTCAGCTTGTTTCTACCTCCTCAGGAAAAGCACCATCTTCTCTAAAGTGGACAAATACCGAACCGCGATCATCCAGGAATCTGTCTTGTCTTTCCGAGTCGTCTACAAAAAACACATACTGACTCTGGAGGACTTGTTGACGTTGGCGAATGAGCACTGGCTCAATGACCAGGTTGGTGCCGAACAACACAACACCTTCGGTTTGTTGTGTAGAGTGTGTGTTGAGCTGTGCTAAACCAATGTGTTTTGGGCTGAACTGCAGGTCATGAACATGTACGGAGAGTTGATCATGGAGTCGTCCAATCACAAGGTAACCTACGTTACAATCACCATTATGCCAAAAGATTGATTTTATTGAACAATTACACATAAATCAATCAAAAATATTGTATGGTAGGAGGATATTTTCTACACCTTTAGGTGATTGGTCCATATATAGAATGTAATTCAGATAAAATACCTGTAATTCTTTTAACTTATTACCAAATACATTTTCCAGTCTTTGTTTCTGATTAATTTCAGCATGTTTTTTTGTTTTTGTCTCCCCTTGAAGGTCCATTTTCTCAACAGTTTCTTCCACCGGCAGCTCATGACCAAAGGATATGACGGTGTGAGGCGGTGGACGAAGCAGGTTAGCTATAACATAAAACTGATTATCATCAAGTAAACTAAAGAAGCGTCCAACACCAAGTCAGATGTGTGATATTAATTGATTGGGGATGCAAACAGAAAATGAGGATTCTGCAAATTAAAAAAATGTAAACAAGACAGACAGCCGTCTGACTCTGCAGTAGGAAGCTACAAACCACATTGAGGATGAAATGTGGTTTGTTGGAGGATGAAACCAGCATCTCCATAAAGCTAGCCAGCAGAAGGAAACATGAAGTGTTGTAAAATATCCTGACAGACACTAGATTTTTGTTGTTGTTCTGGCTATTACTTAGAATAGATTTTCTAACTAATCCATCCCAGTAGAACCATTGATACAGTCTTCCTGTCTCAGGTGGATTTATTTTCTAAGACTCTTCTTCTGGTGCCCATCCACCTGGAGGTCCACTGGTGTCTGGTTACGGCCGACATTTCCGCCAAGAAAATCTGCCTTTACGATTCTCAAGGACATTCACTCCAGAAGGTTGCAAGGGTAATAAAGCTATTGTTATTATTATAATTAATTTTATTTATTTATTTGTTTGTTTTGTTTTACAAATTTTCTTCTTACAAGAATGTCTTGGTAGGATTTTGGGTCAGTTGAGTTGGACTTCATCTGGATGTGTTGCTTTGCTTTGAACAGAACATCTTGAAATATTTGATGTCTGAAGCAAAAGAGAAGAAACAAGCTTCATTTCAAGATGGCTGGACGGTGTCATTTGTAGAGGTATGAGAAACTGGACCAGGTTCTGTATGTGTGAACACAAGATGTATGATGGAACCAGAGAGGCCAACTTGAGTTTGACATTTTCACTAGAGTTACATTGGAGTCGCAAAAATAAGACTTGAGACCTGACTTGGACTTGGCCCTCAAAGACTTGTGGTGTGACTTGGACTTGTCAAAGAGTGTCTCTGTTGGAACCTGTTTGAGCAATACTGAGTTAGCTGCTGTTACTGTCCCACAGAAGTAATCACACCTTTAAAACATTTTTTTCCATTTTGTCACATTTCAACTACAAGCTTCTATGCATTTTATCATAATTTTATGTGACAGACCAAACATTAGTAAGCAGTGAAGCAATCTAAAACTAGTTGGTTAGCATTTGTATTGAGTAAAATAAAATTGTGAGAAATATGAAAACGGTTTAGAATATCTTTTGAAAGGAGCTGCATAAAAATGTCATTAATGTGCAGCATTACTGAACAGGATGTATGTGTATCATGTTCAAGCAGCCTAGAGGGATGTGCTCACAAATCTTTGCTCCACACAGCTGACTCTATTGCTGGAGACCAAATATAAAACTTATGATTCACTCGGTCCGTGAGGGTAATGCTAATGAGCTAATGAGCAGATTCTCATTTTTTACTTGACGCTTTGTCTCCCCCTGCTGTTCTTCACAGGAAATTCCACAACAGACCAACGAGAACGACTGCGGAGTTTTTGTCTTAGAGGTAGGTCTTGCTTTGCTAATTGATGCTTTTTAATTCTATTTTTTACATAAGACTATTTTCTGTCACAGTGGAAAATAGTACAGTATGTAAAGTAAGTGAAAAATATCAACTGTTATTGGTTTTTTTTCTCAACTTTTTATTTTCTGTCCTTGTCATACATCTTAAATATTAAAGAATTCTCAGAATTTTTAACCCTTTGAAATCCAGTTTATCCAAACTGAGGGGCTCAATAATTAATCTTTTTTCTTTCTTTTTTGGAAAACTAAACAAATAGTTTCACCTTTGTCGCTAGCTATAGAAATATTCTGTATTAAGGTATCTTCCTGAATTCCATTCTTAATTTCAGTCAAGAGTCCTAATTTTTTTTCCCTGCAGTTCACACCAAAAGACATTGGTTGAAAGCATCTACAAAAAAATACTATGTCTGGAAAGAAGTGAATTTAAAGTCGGATTATCCAGAACAGACATAGTTGAATTTCTGTTACCTTAAGCAGCTTTATTTGGATTTTTTTTTCAATAAAGTTTCCCGTAAGTTTTTTTTTTTTCTAAAACTTGGATCTCATTGGACCTCCCAACAATATTTCAGTCTCACTTTCAGCAGTCGACAAAAATTTTAGTCATTTTCTTTATTGCTTTTTGTCATAAATTTTATTCTGTTTTCTTCCAGTTTAGAAGAAAAAAACTTACCAAAATGTTTTTTCTCATTCAGAGAGCATTCTGGTTACTTTTTGTTGCTTTACGTGTTCATTATTTTTTTTTATTCCTCGTATTTGTTTAATTTTAAGGTTGTTAATTGGTGCTTCTGTAGCCCATTACTTAAACACTCTTTCACAAAAAAAGTGAAACATTTATTATTTGTTTCAGTTTAATACCGCAATGTTTTTTTTAAATTTTTTTAACAGTATTCTAGATGCCTGTCTCTGTCAAGACCGTTCCAGTTTTCCCAAAAGGACATCCCGAACATACGGAAGAGGATCTATAAGGAACTCTGTGACTGTGAGCTTCATGAACTGGACTGATGAGACGATGGTACATGCAGCTTCTGAAGGATTTCTAAAACGAGCAACCTCACCAGTCTGAGGGTGGCCCTCTGTTAGGGTTTCCATCCATCAGGTCTACTGTCAAATCCACAACTCTTGTTGCTCTGCTGTATTTATGTGATCGCTATTTAACCAGAAGTGTAATTTAAGTAAGAAGCATCTCTGAAGTCCACCAGAAAAGCCTTACTCAGTCTATCACGGACTTTTCTGTTTCTATCCAACTGTTAAAACTGGCAATTTTATGGTTTTATTTTCTGTTTCCATCATTGTTTAAATAGATGCATTTGGTTAAGTCTTTTGTGTTTCAACCAGAAAAAATGATAAAGTTTTACAAACAACTTGGATGTACTTCACTTTTATTTGATGTTTTCATCTTGTATATTGGGTATACAGTATACATTTCACATAGAACAATCTGAAGTTTATACAAGTTTACATAGCTATATGTGAATATGTTGTGCTTGCTTCACGTGTGACTGTCTCTGAACATCAGACCACAGCAGACACAAGGTGGACATTTAAGGCACACACAGAGCTCTCTGTCTGAGAACCAGACCTGAAGAACACCTGAAAACATGGAAGAATACTTTTCTATTACAGACTGTAAGCTAGTTTCACATGTAGGTTCTTTGTGAACAAGTCAGAAAAAAAAACATGCATCGTCAGAGGCTTTTAACAATTTTGTATGGGTGCAAATCAGACATAAGGAAATGACAGGTGTACATTCAAATAAGAAGTAGTTCCTCCAACCTGTGTGCTGGACAGGGGCAATTCAATTTACTGCAACAGTGTTTTTTCAAAGTGGGAGGCCCTCCAGGAGGCGCTAAAAACTGGAGTCTAAATTAGGAAAAACAAGTCGAGCTAAAAAAAATGAAATTAAGTAAAATTTTTATTATTTTTAAATCTTCACAACAAATGTTTTTCCAATTATTATAAAATATAAATTGAAATAGTTTATGTTCTTTGCCATGCCCATCTCTGATTGGCTGACAGTCAAACTCATCGAGCTGCTTTGCTTATTAAGCTAGCCGTATTAGCAATCGTGGAATGGACGAGTTTCTGACAAGATAAAGACCGAAGGAACCGGACGACGCTGCTGCAAAACCCCTAAGAACAAATGGTCAACTTTGAGCCACTTTGAGGCAGCGTTTATGCAAAGCAAATGTAATAATTATTGAACAGAGAATAAAAGCAAGTAAAACGTAAGTATGTTTCTTTTGTAGCATTGTCTCTGGATTTGAAGAAGCTAAGGCTATTTGGGGTCCTGAAATATGATGTACTTAAAAAGTGAGTGTTTTTAATTCAACTTAAGTTAACTTAATGCAGAAAAATTACTCAAAGAATGTTGAATTTTACAGAGCCTGTCTGGTGACATGGGGGGGAAAAAACAACTTGCATCCACAGAAATAAATTCAAGATTGGACCTAGCAGGTTTTTGATGTTTATAATATTATTCTTGAATTGAATTACAATTTTGACCTCAGTACACATGAACTAGAAGTTCATATTCAATTCAAAATTCAATTTAAAAATATTTATCTCAGAAGGAATTTAAACGTTGTGACTCCTATCATCCTGGTATCTTCAACATATTGTCATGGATGGTGATGATGTGGGCAGGAAGGATCTCTGGTAGCAGTCAGTCATGCAACAAATCTGAATTGATCTCTGACAGCATAACGGTCTCAAGACTGTCATGGCATGCTAACAGATCAATATCCATACAGCAGAGACAAAATTCCACATCAGCTTGTGCTGGATGACGTAAGCAATTGTTGACAAGCACTACTCATCCACCTCATTTGCTTTTGCCACTTCTGTTTGCTAGTACTCTAGCTTAATGAGCAAAGCAGCTCGATGCATTTGACTGTCTGGCCTTAGGGTTGGAAAGCCGGGCAGAGAGATGTTGGAGTTGGGGATATGATCGATGATAGATGATTTGAACTTCCTCCTTCCCTCTCTACAACCACGTAGCCTCCTTTTCAACTCCTCTAGGATTTGAGGTCGTAGTTCAGGTATTATTTGAGTTTTTGAGAAGGTAATCGATTGTCAAAAACAAATTCTTCTCGATACGGCTATGCATCACAGCAACTGTCCAAAGACATAATCCCTCAACCAAAAACATAATGAACAAAATCTACAAAAAGAACGGGTGTATATAAACGATTGACCATCTACATGAAGTTTGGTCCATTTGGTTTCGTCTAATCGTTGACGTGGAACCCCCACTCGATCTCCGGCTCGTCGTCGAGGCGGATGACGAGGTAGGACACGAGTTGGAAGAGGTTCTGCCACAGGCCTAAGAACAGGTACATGTAGAAGTCGCTGACGTCCATTTGGCAGTACACGCCAGAGTAGTTCATGTCGCACACGCACTCGAAGCTGTTCACGTAGTTGATGCAGAAGCCTCCGTTCATACACGGGTCTGAGGCACATTCATCTATATCTTTCTCACACCTGAAAGGATACAAAAAATATTTGTTTAAAAACAAATGCATACTAACCATGATTGACCAGAAAATAATGTATGTGGAAATAAGGACATTTAGTAGTACTTAGGATGTCTGCTAACATTTTGAAAGAACAAAAGGTATTTAGAAATATGTATGAAAAATTTATTAATTTAGTTTTATTTGGTTAAGCGGCTTTCCTTCAGTGTTCCAAGACAAACATCATTTTGCGTGTCCTACCATTGACCGGTGAATCCAGGCAGGCAGTAGCAGGTGTTCTCAGCTTCAGAACAGTTTCCTCCGTTAAAGCAGTTGTAGTTCCATCTTGTGCCCACGCAGAAAGAGGCAGGCAACTGAGGAAGTCTAGGCAGATGCACATATAGTGTCAGTTTCCCTTTTAGTACTTGGATGGCTTTGCAACCTTAGCATTTATCTTGTGTGAAGAAGCACTCACGGATCTGTCTCTATGTACCACGGAGTTTCAGGGATTTTAACACTGAAAGAGATAAGCTGTGAGTCAGTACAGCTTGGTAAAAATGTTTTAGCAATTGCTTAAATACCACTGTCATGAGTCTTTCTATAAATCAGCATAAATGGAAAAATTAGAAACAGTGAAACGGCAGTTTTACATTCATTGCGTAAAACTTACTCGCAGAAATGTCCTGTCATGTTCCGAGGACACAGACACGTGTAGCTGTGGAAGCCTTTCAGGCAGGTGGCGCCATAGTTGCAGCTGCTGTTTTCACACATATCCATTTCTACCTCGCACTGTTCACCGGTGAAGCCCAGCTCACACTCACACTTATAGCCCTCGGAGAGGTTAGTACAGTTACCGTATACACATGGGTGGGAGTTGCAGGTGTCTGTCTGGTCTTGGCATAGTGATCCTGTCCATTCAGAGGGGCAGGTGCATCGATGGTGGTTGAACAGGTCGTCGCACATACCCCCATTCTGGCATGGGTTTGGAGCACACACAGTGGCACCCCAGCATCCGTACTGTGGTGAATTATTGCTGTTGCCCCTCACAAACTGTTCCTCCTGAGGTCTGGGGAGGTTCAGTTCTGTCTCCAGATGGAATGGTAAATGAAGACCCCCAATCTCCACTGGACCTAGACATCCTGAAAAGGTCAGTCCAGATTCCTGGCTTAGGCCACCCAGGAAAATGTCTGCTCCATCCCTGAGAAAGTTAAAGTCCCCAGCCGCTGCTCTGGAGACACTGATGTACTCTTGGTGTCCATCTACATCCATAATCCACCTGGATGTTGGGATCTGTCTCTCCTTGCTGATTGATACAAAGTGCCACTCACCATCACTGAGTGGAGCCAGGCTTTGTGCTGTCACTTTCAGAGAGTCATTATCAGCCCTACCTAGAAACTCCATAACCAAATGAGAGTCAAGGAGAGAGACCGTTATGTGATTGGACTCTCTCTGAGCATGAAGCAAAACGGCCTCTGACTGCCTAGTGCGGAAGCTGAGGGAGACACTGGAGAGGTTGGACTTAATCTTCCTGTTACTGTGATACCACAAAATGCTGTTGTCGAGCCGGAACGTCACATTGGACAAACCTATGGCATGCAAACAGAGAACACTGTAAATAAAGGCATCATCATCATTATTGCTGATGATGCCTTATTTGGTTGAAACACTTGAGTCTGATACACCAAAACCAGAGTGTCCAAGTCCAGTCATTGAGAGCTACCACATTGCAAACTTTAGATGCCTCCCTTCTCTAACACACTTAGATCAAATGAGTGACTCGCAACCTGACGTGTGCAGAGCTGAGTTACTTCTGGTGACAGAATTCAGCTGTTTGATTCAGGTGTGTTGAAGCAGGGTCAGCCCCAGGTCAACTGTAGCTGACCTGGGGCAGCTACAATCCAGTAACTTGCCGGATTGTGGCAAGTTACCACAATCCGGTAACTTGCCACATCATTTTGTGAATGAGTTAATGTCTGGATGTAATGTGACATGCTTTGATATCCTCTGGTCTTGATAAAGTGCTATACAAGAACAGCCCATTTAGCTAGGATGGAGGGTCTCGAGGACTGGACTTGCGAAACCCTGACTGAAAAAACAAAAAATAGCCAAATTATACTTTTATTACACCAATGAGACATACCAAGGTGTTCCATGCAAAAGCATGTATGCACTATACAAGTAATGAGAGAGGCTCGTTATTTTTCAGAGAAATTAGTCTTTATCCCCAAAACCCAAATGAGGAGCTATAATAGATTTTCTGAAGCACCTTCCTCCTTTTTTCATCAGTAACATGTGACCAAGAAATCTCGTCATCACATACTACCACAAGCATGTGCCAGTAGACCTAATCTGACCAGGGATTACCGTGTCTTAGGGGAATCCTGCATGGGTAACTCTCTTACCTCCTGCAATTAGCCACATGGTAATTAATAAGTCTATGAGTCCTGCTTTGGATAAGGAATAGAAATTCTGGCTGTATGTGTAATGTAATTTATTTTTTTTTAAAAAGGGTTGTATTGCCTCTAGTGACTTTTATTTGATAGTGAATTGACAGGAAAGTGGGTAATGAAAGAAGTACATGCGGCAAAAGTCACCAGAAATTGAACCTGCGACAGTCCCGTCGAAGACTAAGGCCTCATTATGTGGGTTGTGCTCCCTGTGCCACCGCAGCACCCCGTGGAATATAATTCTTAAGACTTCTTGAGCTTTGTACCTGCATTGTAACACTTATGTTGTAACAGGTAATATTTGAGGAAAGGGTACTTACACTCAAAGCCTTGAGAGAGGGGCTGACAGATGGTTGTAACAGGGCAGGGAGACAGTTCACACCATTTCACCTCCTCACACCTTTGCCCTGCTGTGTTGGGGGGACAGCTGCAGATAAAATCATCCCACATGGAGTAACACTCCCCTCCATTGAGACAAGGGTTAGCCTGATGTGTGAAAGACGGAAATGAGATTACAAGGCTGGTTCATTTTGCGCAGACATCGCAAGCATGGCTTTTATCTTACAGCACAAGCGTTGTCACTGCTGCATCCCTCTGATACGCCCACAAGCTTCTCCAGGTTGTACGACTCCACAGGAGTTGATACTGGATAGAACTGCAGGCGCTTACTGTTAATCCTCAGATCCTGGACGCATCCCTTGAAGTAGCCACCAAATGAAGCCGAGGCCCTTGAATCTGGTAGACCTCCAACAAAGACCAAATCGTCAGGATGTGTTTGGACACGCCTGATGGCCATAGAACCCTGGCTTTGAGCTGACAGGAACAAAGTGGCTGCAGTTCCTTCCAGCTTCACAGCGACCAGGTGGAAGTGGCCATTGTTGACAGTGTTCTGACTGACAAGAGTCTCAAAGTTGTTGACCTGAACTTTGACCCTGCCCTCCACCAGGAATAGGCGAAGATACTGGCTGGTGGTATTGGCCAGGATGAGAAGCAGACCACTGGACTGTCTGGTGCGAATGAACATGGATATAACTACAGAAACCCCCGGATTGTTGTCTAATGAGAACATGGCGTAACTCTCAAGGTCTTTGTTTCCAAACCTGCCAGTGATGTACTCTGTAATGAAGGAATGAACAGATAAATAGGCATCAAAGGAAACTCAATACAAAGCATAAATGATAAACAGTACACTGTCATTCAATTACAGGGTTGTATGTATCAGGTGCTAAAATGCTCAACAAATGTCAAACTTCTATTGCTGATTTTAAAAACTGCCATGCTATGTGGTTGTGTAACTTGGATCAACTTTAGCAGCAATACCTTGAAATTGTTTCCTGTCTGAATTTATCACTCTCTTACTTTGCTGTGCAGAAGCTTCTCTGATGTTCAGATTTGCTGTTATGTGGTCTTCAGCACCTCACCAATACACTTGTTGGTCACGTTTACACTCAGTTGCTCAGTTTGGCTTCCATCTCTACTTTGGTCTGATTTGTCCAAAGGACATTAGTCTAGAATTCTTGTGACTCTTTTTTGTTAACAAGGAGAGGCTTGGTAGCTTTTTCAAACAAGACATACCTCAGTCATTGTCTGACTATGCTTTCAACATCAGCATACTAACTAGAGCCTAAATCTAAGATAAAATCTTTGGATTTGATTTGCAGGTTCTCTGATGAGATTGGGGTGAATTTGTGAGGACCTCCATTTTTGTAAAGTTTGGTAGCTGTCCTGAATGTTCTCCACTTGTGGAAAATATCTTGATGTAAAATGATGGACATTTTTGAAATCACCCTGTACCCCATCCTAGATTGGTGGGCATTTACAGTTGCCTTTCTAAGGTTATCGTGTTAACACTTACCTGTACTGTCCAGATCAACTGATTAAACTCCTACTTTTGAAGAGATGGTCACTTGTTGCTAATGATCAATTCACCAAGTCTGCTTAGTCAACACCATCTAACTTATAGATGAAAATGTGGAAGCAGCAAACGTGCCCCTTTGATCACACCAAGTACTAGGTCCTTGTATTCCATAGGTTGTGACTCAGTGGGACGAGTTGTAGGGTTCAGTTCTAGCTTCCATTCCCTATCATTTGTTGATGTGCCATTGGGCAACACATTTTTCCCCAAGTTGCCTTGCTATCTGTGTGCAATTGTGTGAACATAAAAACACTCTGAGTGGTTCATATGGCTATAATTCTCCATGTAGGTGTTGTCCCATTGCCGATTCCTTCTTCATTTTAATATCCAGCTGAAAATTTTATAAAATGTTGATTCTAAAGTGTTTTTTTCTTTTTATTCCAATCTTTTCAGAAATTTTAAGATGTATGTTAGCTAAACAAAACAATCAGTTGCTGATGACATTATTCATGGCTTCACTCAGGTAATTTGCTGACAGTTATGTTTGACAATGAAATGACACACATATAATAATGAAATTTCTTAATTTGCCCTTTAAAGAAAACACCTCGGCGTGTTCCAGACGTTTAAGACTCCCTGATCTGGCAAGCTGAGAGCATTCCCGGTCAATTAGTGAAAGCCACGTTTTTTTAATCCATGCTGCAGGTGTAGGTAAATAGTTTCTAATTTGACATCTGTTTGACTGGACTTTGGGCTATTTCCATTTACCCAATAAGCTCCTTTAAAATTTGCTGTCTAACTTTACCCCGGTGAGCGGCTGTCTTTAAAGCGATCCATTGAGACTTCTTGATGTGACACCTGCTAAGACTGGACTTAACCTTTACCTGCTTTAACAGCCTCTGGTAATTCTGCTTACAGTTGGGTCATTACTAAAGGTGAGCATACCGGAGTCACATGCACACACCGTCAAATAAATGAATAAAATAAATGAATGATCTGTCAAATAAAAAACTAAATCCATAGGCAACATGAAAGTCCTCAATAATTGACTGGAACATTGTGTTGTGTTTTGTAGAAATAGTTGAAGTTTTGTCTCATTACAACCATTGTATTTGATACCAGAACTCTGCGACTCCAGTCCTGCAAAATGTGGATGCATCACCGCTCCAACACACCTGAATCTTTGGTATGTCAGCAAGTTTTGCAAAGGTCTGAAAACCTTTCACTAGATTGAGGTGCGTTGGAGTACAGATGCATCCAAAAGCTGCAGCACAATGTCATCCAATGACTGGAGTTGCAGTCCCCTATAATAAAGAGAACACAATAGTGAATTGGAATCATGTATGAACAATCATACATGGTTTTTAATCCACCATCTTGGTGTACTCACCAAGATGTGGGAGTGCACTTAATTGAATAGAAATTAAGGGGAACACTAATCAGACCTCAAGTTTGAAGAATCTGTCCACGAGAACAATTAAGGCCCCGACATCCAATGAAAATATTTAGATCAAAGCATATTCACATGTTAGAATGGCTCAGTCAAAGTCCAATTGAGAATCTCTGGTGAGGCTTGAACGTTTATATTCACAGGCACTCTCCAGATGTGTAAAGCTGAGAGACACATACCCCAAAAAGATGGTCCTACAAAACACTGAATCTCAAATTTGTATTGAAAATAACATGTGTATTAACCCATGTGTCATTTTCCTTCCGCAGTTATTCACTACTTTGTGCTGCTCTGTCACCTAAGAATCCTAAACAATAAACTGAATAAGAAGTTGTGGGTGTAATGTGATAGCAAACAGAAAAGTTCAAAGGATGTGAAGACTATTGAAAGGCACTGAGTGGAGTGTGTGTGTGTGTGTGTGTGTGTGTGTGTGTGTGTGTGCGTGCGCGCGCGTGTGTGCGTGTGTTTCTTTGTAATACCTTGTAGGGATGATTTTCCTGACATATACTACGTTGTGGGGACCAATTGCTCCTTGTGGGGACCGGAGCCTGGTCCCCACAAGGGGAAACCCTGTTTTTGGGTCAGGGGTCAGATTTAGAGCTAAGGTATGAATTGAGTTTTGGTTAGGGTTAGAAAAAGGGTAAAGGTAAGGTTTAGGCTGTAAAAATGAATGGAAGTCAATGGAAAGTCTCCACAAAGATAGCCACACAAACATGTGTGCGTGTGTGTGTGTGTTTTATTTTACCATCTGCACAGTCGTCTCCTTCATACGGCCTGTGGCATTCACAGGCGTACCTCCTCCAGCCCTGGCTCACACACCGCCCTCTGTTCTGACATGGGCTCTCCTCACACTTGTCTCTGTCACTGCATCCAGCTACGATGTTCGCCTGGACGTCTGAATCTTTTGGCACGTCACCTGGCAGCACCAGTCGTGAATCTACTAAGACATCCCTAAAGCAGCCCAGAAAGGCTGGTGGATCCTCTGCTCCATCCTCGACTCTACCTGAAGCCCTGTTCCAACCAATGGCTCCAACAAAGAGGCTTTGTCGAACAACTCCGGGCTCCGGCAGAGCGGCAGCTTGATCCATCGGCTGGACTTCGACACCTGAGTCTTTGGTGCAGCTCACCTCACTGCAGAGCAACCTGATGAGACTGACCACACCACCCAGAGATGCTTCAACTGTGTGCCACTTGTTGTTGGACAAATACTCTGGGAGTTCTTGAACCAGAGTGCTGGTGCCTTGATCTCTCAAGCTGAGGAGGCACAGCTGTCCATCCATCAGCTCGATGGTGAGGAGCAAGTTATCCACTCTACGCTGAAAAAGAGTACCTGTTGGGTTCTCTGTTCTAAAGCTAAAGGTCACATTAAGGGAAGATTCTGGTTCCAGTTGCTTGGTGTCGATATACATATAACCCCGCGCCTCAAATGAGAATGTGGTGGAGGTCTGGCATTTTGGACCGGTGTAACCTGGAAGGCAGATGCACGAGTAGGTGTGTTTGTTATTCGAAAACGAGGGAGAACATATTCCTCCATTCTCACACTGGCTTTCATCACAGCCCGAAAGGGGAATTGTACAGTTCTCTCCACCATACAGGCGTCCATTTTGGCTCTGCTGCGAACAAAGGCAACGGAATCCTCCTGAGTAGCTTTCACATAGTCCACCATTTTGACACGGCTGCTGTTCGCATCCACCAAAGTCTTCACTGTAAAGCGTTCCTGGAGAAATAAAAAAAAAATAAAAAACAAAAGACAAATCAATCTCTATGTTCATACAAACAAGACCATATTTACACGGATGTAGATTTCTGGGCTGGAGACAGTTTTCGTGTTCTACCCATTAAAGAAAAATTATTTTACTAATGCAAATTACAGCATATTAATATGTAGTCCTATCAACTAGAAACTGATTTATGGTAGGCTTAATATGTCCTCTATAGCTCTATGTTGTTCCCCCCAAAAATTACATTAACTTCACAATTTTCAAATACTTGAGTATTTTTTTATAATCTTAATATGTGCATGCAACTCACCTCATATAGGCCTATTATAATTATATAAAGTACAATGTTTGAAAAACATTCATTTGCTAAAAAAAAGAAAAGAAACCAGAAATTTGTGGGTGTCCAGTAAAATCAGGTCCTACCTATGGAAGCCCTTTGTGAATGCACTTTATTTTGACATGTTATGGTAGACCAAAACAAAGAAGTGCCTAATTGTGAAGTGGAATAAACAGTATTCATAATTTTCCATGGTTTTTGCAATTCAAAATCTGAAAAGAAGTGACATGCATTTCTATTCAGCCTCCTTCAATCTGCTAAAAAAATAAAAAAATAAAAAATCTGGTGCACTCAGTTACCTTAAGAAAACAAAACAATATGGCACAACTGTAAACCTCCCAAGGTCAGCCACCTTAACTGAAAGAGCAGTCATCAGAGAAGCAGCCAAGAGGCCCACATTCACTCTAGAGACTCTGCAGAGATCCTCAGCTCTGGAAAGAGAATCTGTTCACAGGACAACTAGAAGTTGTGCAATCCAAAAAACTGGCCTTTATGAAGGAGTGTCAAGAGGTAAATCAGTGTTGAAAGAAAGTAGGAAATTGCTTAAGGTTTCCCAAAAGCAAAGTAGTGGATACAGCAAACACGGAAGTCAATACTCTCAATAAAAAAAAATGAAACTTTTCAGCATTCATATAAAATGTCTTGTCTCGTCCACCTTGAGTGTACCATTCGTGCTGAAAGGAAGCTTGTCTTTCCCAGACGCAGGGAAGATCGTCTGAGTTACTGGGAAGAAGGACAAAAGCTAAATACAATCCTGGGAGAAAACCTATTAGAGGGTGCAAAAGACTAGAAAATGGGGTAGAGATTCTAGCAGGACTACAACTACCAGGTTCAGGTATTCATATTTTTGAAGGGCCCAGTCAAACTCAAGACCACTACAAGATCCCATTGCAAAACTTTTGTACATAGTCAAAAATACACAAATACAAATTCAGGCCAAATGACAATGAAACGAAACAATTTACTACTTCCTTAATCTGACACACCTGTTCAGGCAAAAACATGCCACTGATAATTAATAATCTCTGGTCATAAATCATTTAACATTACCTGCAGAAAGCAACACAAGGATCCACACACGCATGTTGAATCTCAACATTGTCCTTTGCAAGTCCTCCAGATTGTTAAATGTTGGCCAGTATCTTCATTTTAGATCTTACTGGAGAACACGTGTGTGTGGAGCTCCATCGTCTTCCCCCACTGCTTCCCTTAATGCATGTGTGTGTTAACTGAAATGCTTGGATCGCTGCATGTTAGATAGAAGAGATTAAGCTAATGCACTTATGTAGTCTTACATGTTAAACATGTTGGAGAGGGGAGGGGTGCATCGGAGCCGGCTAATTCCAGCACCTCCACGCGTCAAACACAACCAAAATGTGCTGTTATGTGAGTGACGCTGACTGGATTTCAAAGTTGTGGTCCGAAAGCACCACAAAGTCCTTGTTTTAATACACAAGATTTTGTGCGTTTATCATAAAGATCGATACTTAAGCTGTATATGTCAGACAAAGGTTATAAAAAAACTTCCAGGAACATGTTATTAATGTCATCAAGAACTACATGTAAGGAAAACTCTCAGGTCATATTTCTATTCCATTGATAAAGAGAATGTTTTCTGAATAAGAAATTACCTATCAAAATTTTACTAGGAGTGATTAAAACTAAAAGAAATATTTAGCAACGTTTATTACTCTCATGAGTTTAAAGAAAGGCCGTTCAGACAATTTTCTTAGTTGTAATACTAATATTTAATAATTAATTTGTGTGGCCCTGCAATAAATCGACCACCTGTCCTAGATGGATGGATGTATGGATGGATGGATGGATGAATATCCAACATTAATTATTCTTCTCAGGGAAGAAGAGGAAAAAATTCTGAATAAGAAATTGACATTTATAATATCATCTAAGTTTTTTGCACTGACCAATCTGAATTTAGTTACTGAAAATGAACCAACAATTTTACCACAGTTAACTCATTATTTAACATAAGGGGTGGTGATATAAAGCTTGGAGAAATATGGAGGATCATTCAAAAACCTTTTATTTAGATGGAAAACAGTATATACATGGGCGTGGCGTCACAATTCAAATTTCCGAGGCAAACGGAAGGCAGCATAACTTCAACTAGTCTGATATCCTTCAGACTACATTACCCATGATTCTTTTGTGACCACGGAAGCTTTCCAAATGTCAGCACAGTTGAGCTTGTCAGTAATCGCGTAACATGTTAACTACAGGAACGGACTCAGTGTTGTCATATGGTATTAAGGCGTTTCTTTGAGCTTCACGTAACTTTACGTCTGGACAGAAGGACAATAGCCGCACCAGCCAATGGGGGAGCGCTTTGTTTCGGCGTCCGACATTTCTGGTGGGGCGTTTCAGCGAGAGGGTCGGGAAATTATTATGCCCTCTATTTATTTTCCATTATTACTCCTTTGCGCTAAAAACGGCAATATGGAGGCCTCTCACCCGTATTTGGTAAGAATATTATTAATACGTCCCAATAACAATGTGAGTTCATTAAGTTAACGATAAAGGTCGTTTGTCGACGCTCTCCTCGGAGGGGGGCCCGCCCGTCTCACTGACAATATAATGTTAGGGGGGTCCTTGAGGTGGAGGGGGAATTGTAAACACACAACCGTTATTATTGCCGAGAATTAAGCTGACTTAACTACGCTGACTGTCGGTTGCGCTTCGTTCTGCGAGGCTGCCGGCAAGAAATAACTCAAACAATGTAACAAGCGTCCATGATACGTTGTTACTACGCAACATTATTAAGCTGTTGTTACATTTTATTTAAACTTGGCCACAATGTTACACTTTTGCTGTTGTTATCAGCACTGTTTTACTTAAGTAACCTACCTTTTAGGAATTGTGTCAAAGCTTTTAATACCCTGACCACATTTGTCTGGGTCCAAAGCGAAATTTGATTTAGGTGATCAGCAAAGCCATTAAATAGCAGCAAACATCACATTGTAGCCCAACACATGATACCTAATAATTAGAGAGCCCTCAGTGAACTAAAATAGAAGAAAATTGTCAGAAAATTAACTAGAGAATGATATAATAATTGTGTCTTGGTAAGTACCTTATGAGCAAAAACTGCCAAAATGTCACATTATGTACACGAAGATATTCCTAGCCAAATAGACACATTGTTACAGGAATTAGAAATGGCTAGATAAGGCTTTGCTGATTTGCTGATTCAGATTTTTCTTTGTCTAATAACTGTAAAATTTAAAAATGTATTTTTAATGCAAGTTATAGCTTTGTATTCTAAAATGAAGGAAATAAAACACTGTCTATCTATTCATCAGAGCGTATGCCCCTTACCTTTACCAGGTCTTTAAGAACCTCCAACAAAATACATGTTTGGACATTTACAGACTGTAAATCAGGGGTCCCCAAACTACGGCCCGCGGGCCGGATCCGGCCCGCCACGTCATTTGGTCCGGCCCCCTGAACAATACCGGATCCGGCCCGCCTCCTCATACCAGAGAGCATTCAGTGTTTTTTTTTTTCATATATTGTATTTTCCGGTTTATATGTGGATTTTTCTTCAACCACCAGGGGGCTCTTGAGCAGATGTGAAACTAACTTTCCCTCAATGGAATACATACCAGTCAGTCCCAGTCACTGTTTCACTCACGGTTTTTTCCATTTGCATTCTGGGTAAAAATCTATCTAAAAGCGCGAATGTCTCCTCGTCCCCCCCCTCTGCCCCCCGTCCACAAGAATTTTCTAAGGTTTCTTTCTCCAAAAAATAAGACAGGCCCCCGACCAGAAAAAGGAACAGCTATGTGGCCCTCGCAGGAAAAAGTTTGGGGACCCCTGCTGTAAATGCTCAAAGCTTTGATACATTTTGTTACTAGTGGAAAGAAAAAAAATATTGTATTACATACATAGCAAATTACAGGAAAGTTAGCTGATTCTGAACACTGGTAATTGACTGGTTTACCTCCAGTAATAATGTTATCGAAAACCTTTACTTTTTTAAGATTTATTGCAATACATTAAAGACATATAGAAATTGGCTGAATACAGCTGTAGATTTCAAGGTGCAGTTTCTTTGTATGTCACACCTCACAGTTTTAAATCTAGACTTTAACAAACTTATGCTTTCTGTATAATTATTCAGACCATCTGATTTTAGTTTTTACACCATGACTCCCTGTTCTTTGTAATGAAACAGTGAAAATGTTCTTTCTTGTAATGAAGAGAAAACCAGTGTAGCCCTCTTTCAGCCGCTGACCAACAGAGCGTAACAATATGTGGGGATGGGCAGCGCTCTGTTACTCTATGGTACAAATGGCAGAAAAAAACTCACTAATTTTGTCTGACATCTCATTAGACATACAGTAATTGTACAAACTGTGACAGAAAATTTTAGCAGCTTTGAAACATAACTGTTTTCAGATCTCATTATAATAATGGTGCCCAGCTACTAGAGACGGCTTACTTCAGAAGACTGTTCAACTCACCGTCAAGATTTAAACCGTTATATTTGTTTTATTTGTGACCAAAGCACACACAAAAGCTGTAGAAATAACTAAGTCAGTACAATGGTTCTGTTAGCATAATCATAAAGAATTTTGGTTGTATGATTACAAGTGACACATTTACTGATTCAAATCAACAAATGCATCAATCTGGTATGAAAAAGTCACTGCAAGTTTAAATTGAAGCTTTCCTGACCCACTCGATCTCAAATAAGACGTCTTGAGGTCTATTCTCTTTGAGAGATGTCAGAGACTCATGGTGCCTCCTGTTGGCTTAGGAGTCCTTAGCAGCAACTTAATTTATGTTATGCCTCTGTCCAGCTTTGGTCAAAGTCATCAGAACTAAACTCTGTGATCAACTCCAATGTCCGGTTTCATTGTATTTGTTGTGTTTTACAGCACTGATCAATTGTACCCCGACATTCATCTCCATAATGAAGAAAAAGCCCAACAGCATGGTTCTTCCAAAGCGCGGGAGGTTGGTGACAAACTCATCCGCTGCAGAGGAGTGCAGTGTCCCATTGAACTCCAAAACAGTCCAGGATTCGTCCCTTCCTCTCAGACGCCTCACTATGTCACAACACAGTGACAACCTCCTTGCCTTTTTGAACGAGGACCGGACCCGGCAGAGGTTCTGCGATGTGTCCGTGTTGGTGGGTGGGACGGTTTATAGAGCCCACAAAGCCGTCCTAGCCCACGGGAGCAGCTACTTTCATGCAGAGCTCTCCAAGAGCTCGGGTACAATGACTCACGTCACTCTGGACCACGTGGAGGATTCAGTTTTCCAGCATCTCCTCGGCCTCCTGTACACATCAGAGTGTGTCGTTGCAGAGACGGACCTCCCAGCTCTAGCTGAAGCAGCCAGGTTCTTGGATATGATGGACATATTAAAGCTCTTGTGTGAGGACGGGAAAGCTACCTCTTCCCAGGGAGAGATGAGGGAAACTGAGATAGAAATTCCCTCCTGTGATGCTGCTGGGGTGGGCATGGAGGTCCAGAGCACCCTAAACAGCAAAATTTCCCTGCAGCACAGAGTTGCTGAGAGTACTAATCCAGCTTCAGGTAGGGAGGTGAAAACATGTCCGAAAAGTGGTATCACACGGAGATCAGCTTGTACAAGAAAAACACCCTCTAAACATAAGAAAGACAATGGAAAGTACTGTATCAGCAGTCCTACAGAGCAACAAAGAGCTGAATCACCAGGGAGACCAGATGAACAGAAAGTGGACGGTATTTTGGAGGTTAATCGGGTCATGAAAGAGACCCCCAAAGCATCTCACGGTGATGACGTGATGGAGGAGGACACCGAGGACGACGAGCAAGACGGTAGCATGGGTGCTGTTTCGCAGAAGAACATTTGTGAGGCTTCTGGAAATGACAGGGCGGCTTTAGAGGAAGGTTCGCACACTGACAAAATGGAGGCCCCATCCGGGCAAGATCGGGAAGTTCACATGCCTCCAATAGCAAGCACTAACCAGAGTCCAGAGTATCCTGAAGGTTTGGCTCCAGTTATCATCCAAACATCCAGCAAAAAGACTCTCAAGTGTCCCAAATGTGAGAAGACTTTCGATCGTGCAGGTTGGTTCCCTCGGAGTCGGATTTATAATGTTCCTCATGTCTTTAGCATGTAGATTTGAGTTTCTGTGTCTCTTGTCATCTTGGTGACAATCAATAATCGCCTGAAAGAATCTATGGCTTGATTTCCCTTCTCTGGACTTGTAGGGAAATACGAGAGTCACACCCGAGTCCACACGGGAGAGAAGCCTTTCCAGTGTGACATATGCCTCCAGTGCTACTCCACCAAGTCCAACCTGACGGTGCACAAGAAGAAGCATGCAGGAGATGCTCCTATTCCAAAGAAGGAGCACAAGTGTCCCTTCTGCAACAAACTCCATGCCAGCAAGAAAACTCTGGCCAAGCACGTCAGAAGGTAAAACACAAGCCTGTCCGGTCGATCGACCTGTAGTCATTTGGTTTTACAGAGATCTTTTGGGGGTTTGTGGCGGTCTGTCTCAACACAATGCTCCTACTTCTGTTCAGTCATCATGCCAAAAGATATGGTATGATATTCAAGTAACTTTGAAACTTTGTTTTGAAAGTTACTTGACTTTGAAACCACAGTCAAATTCCTTGTTTGTGCACCCAGACATAGCCAACGTGTCTGATTCTGATTTATGTAAAATGTAGTCAGATATGGCAAGATGAGTTTTTCCATATGTTGAGTTTAAGTGATATGTAAACAAGGGATGCACCTACATGAAAGTTTGGGCAAATATCGATGTCTGACATTAACATTGTTGTTATGGATGACATCTAATATTTACTGATATTATATTTTTCTACCCTCTCGATAACGTGGGGGAAAAAAACACTGCTGACAGATTCTATATTTCAGTCAAATCTCCATAATCCTGCACTGCATCACTCTGACTGTCACATGACCAAGCAAGAAGCACATGGTCCACCCGAACCCTCTCCGCTTTCACTATGTTTCCCTGTTGTTCTAGGTTTCATCCCGATCACACACAGGAGTTTTTTGCTGCAAGGAAAAAGAAGAGCGAAGGCTGGAAATGTGCAGTAAGAACCAGCTAGTAACTTAACACGTCTAGAAGTAAATTTGTAAATTTTCCAAATCATTCACATGTTGGCGCACACCGATCTGGATGAGTAAAGCAGATCGTAATCGAATCTTACACTGCATGAAATTCAGAATCTTAATTACCCGTACATCGTCCAACAGATTTGTTCGAAGACGTTCAGCCGCAGGCCTCACCTGCAGGAGCACATGATCCTGCACACCCAGGACCGGCCCTTTAAATGCTCATTCTGTGACGAGTACTTCAAGTCCAGGTTTGCAAGGCTGAAGCACCAAGAGAAATATCACTTGGGTGAGATACATCAGAACGCCCTCTGCTTTTGCTGGTCAAAATCTTTACAATCTATGTTAAAAAAAAATGGTGTAGAAGATGTTTTTTATTTAATTAGATTTTTTTATTTTCTCCAACGTGCAGGTCCGTTTCCCTGTGAGATCTGTGGACGTCAGTTCAACGACACCGGCAACAAGAAGAGGCACATAGAGTGCACACATGGAGGCAAGAGAAAGTGGACCTGCTTTGTTTGTGGGAAATCAGTGAGGGAAAGGTACAGTTTCACCTCAGATTCTCCCCGAGCATAAAAGCCATAAAAAGCTTTTTTTTTTTTGCATTTACATTTATAATCAACATTCCTTTTTATTTATACCAGCAACTGCAGTTTTAAATGTGAAGATGAAGAAAAAGAATGCATTGATTTCTTTATCCATTAAAAAAATGCTTGTGCTTGCATTAATATTCACCCCCCCCTTTTAAAAGCACACTTGTAAATAATGTATCGCCTTCAGAAGCCCCACCCGTTTGTCATTTAGCTTAATTATGTTAGATGTCTTTTGACAATTGAAACCAAATTGGCTGCGATTGATTTTACTTAGTGGTGTCAGAGGAAAAGGGGGTCCGACTCCAAATGCACAAACAAAAGTTGCCCCCATTTTTCTTTTAGTTTGCAATTTTTGCACCACTTTGTTGGTGTATCGCATAAAATCCCAAAATGATATGCTCCAGTTTGTGGTTGTAATCTGAACAAAATAGCGAAGCCATAATTTATTTATTCTGTCTCCCTTCAGGACGACATTGAGGGAACACTTGCGTATCCACAGTGGAGAAAAACCTCATCTCTGCAGCATTTGTGGGCAAAGTTTCCGTCACAGCAGCTCCTACAGGTGAGAGGTTTTTTTTTTTGTTGTTTTTTTAGAAAACCACATCTCCTCCTTGATCACAAACACTTCAGACTTTCAGTATGGCTGGTTCTGGTGATAAAAACAAAACAAAAAAGAAATCGGCTGTTTGTATTTGCAAAGGCTTCACCTCAGAGTCCACCATGATGACAAGCGCTACGAATGTGACCAGTGTGGGAAAACCTTCATACGCCACGATCACCTGACCAAGCATCAGAAAATACACTCTGGTAAGTGTTTAAGAGGCGGCAGGCCTTAATTCAGCTTTTGTCTTGTCCACCCAGACCTTTGGTTCTCATTTCTCTCTGATGGTGAGTTCAGTGCAGTCTGTGTTTGTTTTTAGGTGAGAAAGCACACCAGTGTGAAGAATGTGGGAAGTGCTTCAGGCGCCACGATCATCTAACTGTCCACTATAAAAGTGTTCATTTAGGAGAGAAAGTTTGGCAGAAGTACATCATCCATATCACAGATTTATGTTTTGTACTAGTATGTCACTCTTCCTCTCTTTGCCCTGAAGGTTTGATTTATGCTTCTGTCTGTATTATTTTTTTCTCTCAGATATAAAACTGCTGTGCATCAATGTGAGGTTTGCAAGAAAGAGTTTAAAGGAAAGTCCAGTTTGGAGATGCACTTCAGGACTCACTCAGGTAAATCGTGACTTTGGCTTGAATTTAAAAACTACAGATTGGCAGGACACTTGAAACACTTTCTGCTCTTTAAATGCGTGGATGGTCTTTGATCCGCAGGTGAGAAACCCCACAGATGCCCTGAGTGCCATCAGACTTTTCGAATCAAGAAGACCTTAACGAAGCACATGGTGATTCACTCAGACGCCCGTCCCTTTAACTGCCCCCACTGCAGCGCCACCTTCAAGAGAAAAGACAAGCTGAAGTACCACGTGGACCACGTGCACAGCGCCAGGTTCACCGAGCCGCCCCCCAGCCAGGACAAAGCCGCCCCTACTCCCTTTGAGGAAACCTCAAAGACGTACCACTCTGACCCCAAGTTGGCCCCGCGAAGCGCCTCCAACCCGGCCACCGTCTGCATCCCCGTCACTTTAGTCCCTGTCCCCATGGCAGCAGGAGGTCCGGGAGACCTTCACCCCCACCGGGCCGCCTCTCTCTCGTCTCAGACCCACAGCGTGGTAAACGTTCAGGCTCAGGGCCAGCAGCAGGAGCAGCAGAACCCCGGCTACCAGGCAGCAACAGATCTGGCTTTCTTAGAGAAGTACACCCTGACCCCTCAGCCGGCCAACATCATCCATCCTGTAAGGCCCGATCAGATGCTGGACCCTCGAGAGCAGTCGTACCTGGGGACGCTGCTGGGCCTGGACTCTGCTTCCTCTGTTCAAACCATCTCCAACTCTGATCACACTCACCGATGAATGTGCAGATTTAGGACAAAAACTATATGAACGGCACCCAACCCGGTTTGATTCAAAAGTAACACCCAAAGACAGATGTAAACGCATCGACTTATTCTTTACTATTCTATCTAATCTTTTATATAATTTATATCAGTATAATTTTTAACAGGTTAGAAGATTTCATTTGATGACATTTAAAACTTAAACAAGTGTTTTTAGCAGCTAAACTAATGATGGATGAACTTAATTCAGTTAAACAAATGGTACGTTCTCATCTGGTTGGGTGCAGGACTGGACTGATTTATCCTTATAATACTAGCTGAATAAAACCTAACAGCTGGTCTTTACAAATAATTACAATTTTAATTTGCATCATGAACAATCAAAGCAAACAGGCAATTTTGTCATTTTTAACCGTAGAATTTTTTTTTTTTTTTTTGGTATTTATCCATTTTCTTTTTTTTTTTTCAAATGAAATGAAAGCCATTAAAGTAAAATTTATTATAAAACAACACCATTAAAGATCAAAACCTGTGGACAACTCTTATTTTTTGACGAGCGACAGTATTATGTTACGTGCAATATGTATTGTTTACAAGTAGAAATGTCTCTATATTTATATATATAAATATAGCTCTATATTTCATTGCATGTCATCGCTCTATATAGAAACAGCGATGCCATGGACATTCCTGCTGAATTGTGTAAAGGTTAGAATAAGAGAATAACTGTGTTTCCATTAACTGTAGAACTGTGCAAATTGAAATTACGAAAATAAATTTGCTTAATGGAAACACACCAATTTAGAAAAAAAACTTGTGATTTACGAAGAAGGAGTCTGTGTAGAAGGAGGTCGATTTTCAGCCGTATCAAAATAGATGTATTACAAAAAACTGCAACGGAAACACTTTTTCCCAGTCGCACGAGTTACATGAACAACAGCCGGATATTACTGCTGGTGGAAAACGACGAAGATGATGTCGAAAAGTAATAGGAGTATGATGGCTTGTTTTTTTTTTCTTTTCTGACAGCGTGCAGCAGGCTCCACCGGAGCTCTCCCAGTTTCGCACACTTAGTAAAAAGTTGTGTCGTGTTGAATCGTGTTCTGTAAAATCGTGGACTACAATAATTTCCCCAAAACTTTGCATACGCAGCCACTCCAAAGTATAAATGGCAAGACTTTCCAATACCCAACGTCTCCTCTGAACTGTTTACATTCGTTTCTGCAGTTATTGTTAATCATTTATTGCATTTACAAGCTTAGTCTTGTGTGATTGTAGTTTAAGTTCTTATTTAATGGAAAGACCACAACTTTGAAATTATGTTTTTTGTTTGTTTTGCTTTTTTTTTTTTTTTTTTTACATTAGCGAAATATTGACGAAGACTTGTGCATATTTGTAATACAAATGAGTTTGTTGAAGTGCCACAGTAACCTGGTTTGGATAACAGAGTGACTTCTTTGTTGATTTTTACAAATCTGGGGGCTTTTTTTGCCTTCTAACTTTAAATGCAGACATAGACGAACATAACCATAAAAGACTGAACTTTATTGGTATGCTAAAACAGAATGAATATCCAGGCTGGCCGTTAGCAACACATTCAGTCTCAAGTTGTTTCAAATGGGTTCATGTTTCCGTTTGTTCTCAGTCCATCAGCTCAGCCCAGGGAAGCCAGATCTTTTCCCAGTGGTACCTCAGCATGCATTCTGGTTACAGTGAAGACATTTTAAAAAATAACTGCTTTAGATGTTTATACATATAAATACACAAAAATAACACAATTTTAACAGGGGTACTTTGAAATGCCTGAAATATTAAGAGCAAAAACATCTTTAAGTAACAAACGAATACTCACCAATCTTATCATGGACCAGGAGCAACCTGAAAAAGAGAAAAAAACAAAAATAAAAAATACATTTGAATTTCTATCCTTTGTTATTTCAATGTCTGCTTCAGCTGTGGCCAACTTTAGCCCTGCTGAGTCAGTGTCCTGCATGTTTTAGCTGTTTCCCTGCTGAAATTTTGCTGAGTTAACTGCTAAAGTCCCTGCAGAGGCCTTTCAATGAACCAGTCCTTCAATTCTGATGTGTTGAACATGTAAACATTCACTGGCTTGCAAAAGTATTCATACTCATGAAGGTTTCCATATTTTGTCACACGATAACTATAACACTATAATTGGGATTTTATGTGGTACACAACTGCAACACAACTAGGATTTTTTGGAAGTTTTTTTTGGCAGAAATGTACTCCTTTTTTTTGTCTACAATGGCCATAATACGCAGTTGTAAAAATGTGACAGGCAATAAGCAAACACAATGATGTGTAAACTGCAAACTGTAAGAGATGTTAATGACTTGTTGGTCTGTCTGCTCCAGTGTTCTAACAATCTAACTGCTGCTTACACTGATACTTACATGTGGATACACTGAGTCTCCCTCCAATGCACCGGACCACAGCGTAATGATTAAACGTCCATCTATCAACACATTTCGGGTATTCTGTTTCCCCATTTCTGATAAATGTATTGCCAGTATTTATCAGATCAGGATATTCTGCAGTGTTCAGAAGACAGAAGTCCTCTGCAAAAAAAGGAAAAGAAGAAAACACTTTTCTTTATGTCTTTTTTTTTAAATGAAAGTTTCAGTATTGTTTTCCGTTTACCTTTACATTTGGGGACTTCGGACCACCTCCCACCTCTGTGACATACCACTGTTTCAGGACCCACTAACTTGTAAAAGTTCTGACACTTGTATTTCACATAACGTTGGTCCTGTTGCACAGGAAGTCCGTTTGGAACATGAGGGATCTCTCCACAATGATCGACTGAAAAGGAAGAATAAAGTTTCATAAAACTGTTAAAGTCGAGTTCCTTAGTTTAACACATCCTCTCACACAATCAACAAAACCCTCTGTCTGGCTCAGCTTTGTATGTTGCATGCTCATAAGAAATGTGTGTGAATTACTTACATGGATATTTTGGTTACATTCTAGATAAATACATGCAATATAAATGAAGAAATCAATGTGCTTATTTACTGGATACAAAAGTAGTCTGAGTGTCCGTGGATCCGGATCTGGCAGGACGAGCTGGAACAAACAGAGCAGAGGGAGGTTTTCACATTTGTTCGTTCTCTCATAGTGTTGAATAAAACATAAAATATTCATTTCATGCAGATTTTTTTTTCTACTTTGAAATTTTCTCTTTAGCGTACACAACTTACTTTGAATATTTAAAGTAAATGCGAAGTGCAAAATGAAGGACAGTGGTATTACAACCTGATTTAAAATAGTTACTTGTTGACACGCAGGACTACATGTGACTGAATGAAATAACACAATAAATATCATAACAAATGACATCACCCACAGATGTTTTTCTTAACATGCAAATCTTTGTTCTGTCTTTACTGTGTTTTGTTTTTTGTTTTTGTTGTTTTTCTGAACAACCTTACCATACAGAATTGTCAAAATACCAAAACATTTATTTACATTGCATGCTTTTATTTTGAAATATCAATGTTTATATGTTGTGGACATTATAATCGCCTGGTAAGTTACGTAGCCAATAAGCGGTGGCGGTTATTGATATGGGCGACATGGGCAACAGCCCAGGGTGGCATATTGTGAGGGGCAGCATAAACGCAAGACCCACACCCCCATGCACTTCTGACAGAATGATCAAAAATTCCAATAATCACACTCATAAACTCTGTGAAAAGTCTTTCCAGAAGAGATGAAGCGCTACAGAGGGCTAGCCAACATCATATTAAACCTTAAGCTGATGAAAAACGGGATGTCACTGAAGTTCATGTGTGTGAATCCAGACAAATTAATACCTTTGGCAACGTAGTGCGTCTCAACACAATGACCACTTACTGCAACGTGGAGTTCCGAACCAGTTTCCAGCCTCACAAGAGACAGTTGTTGTGGACTCTCTGTCCTGTGTGAGAAATCCATCTCTGCACTGATACGTCACTGTGGAATAAGCATCAAACACCTCCTGGTATGTCTGAATAATGACCGCATTGGGGACAGCTGGTGGCTGGTCGCACGCCTTGGGGTGTTCTGTGGATAAACTGAGACAGTCAGTCGGAACGGAAAAAGGCGTTTTGTTTTTTTGTTTTTTTTAGCCAACGGGTTCAGGACTTACTCTGGCAGAACGGCACCGCGGACCACGTCCCACTGTGGCACTCCACGATGTTATCCTGGCCGTTTAGCGAATATCCTGCGTTGCAGTTTATTTCTAACGAACCGTTTAGGTTTCGCTTGAATTTGCCGTTTGGAATTACCGGAGGAAGGCAGACTGTCTCCACTGGGGAACAGAAAAAAATATAAACATACAAACTTTTTTTTTTTTTTTTTAAACATAATTTAAAAAAAAAAACCTCACCAACACACTCCGGTTTATCGGACCAGTCGCCATCTTGACATACGATAGTCGCCCACCATCCCTCCTCTGTGGTTTTGTATCCCGTATCACAGCTGTATGTTACATGTGAGCCATGAGCATAAGACTCTTGCACCGGGAGAAAATAACCGTTTTTCAGGTCGGGAGCGCTGCACGGTTCCTCTTCGTTCACAGCTGAAACAGACAGAAACCTGTCAGAGATAACGTCAGCGGCAGCAGCTTCTTCCCTAATAAACGAACGTCTCTTACCATGCAGCACTCCAGGAATCCAAACCAGGAGAGCAAATCTCAGACCCGTCAGCCACATGTTGTCAGGAATCAAATCACAGCCTTAGACTGCAGAGTTAGGAGCCTTGTTCAGATCAGATGCCTGTTAATAATTAAGGCTTTTCCCGTAGAGAGATAAGAAGTGAAGGAAAAAGTCAACATTGCATCGAGCTGCTGCTGCGGGGCTGTCAATACAAATTGTGCAAGTTGGGACATTTTGGTGATGAAGTAAGAGAAAGGGAACATACACACAAATAATTTCACTGCATGATTTCTATGATGACAATAAAGATGATGATTATTATTATTAGTTATTTACCTGGTCTGTTGGATAAAATAAAAAAAAAATCATAAAGTAATACAATTTTGAAAACAATGTGCTAAAATATCTGTTTACTGTCCAGGTTTGACGGTGATTTTCCAGCACGGTGGGATAAAATACCAGCCTTACGAAACACCAGAGCATAATGTCAATAAACTGGTTCAGTAGAGATTCATCTTTGAGTATTAACTCCTTTGCATGATCTCATCAAACTTGTACGGGTTACACCAGTGGTTCTCTACGTTTTACAAATACTGCACCCAGTCAACACAAAGTTTTTCCAATTATTTTCTCCTCGACATTCAATATTTTACAGGCTTCATGCCCGTCCTTTGAGTGTTTGACAGATCTGGAGGTTCGAATGATCCCACACACTGAACATCATAAGTCTGAGGGAAAAAAATGAAGACTTGTACATACACACCAGTTTCATTAATTGTCTGCAGGTTGAGTGTAGCACAGCAGGTTGTTTGTTCTCACTTCATCAGGCTGGCAGTGAGGAAATGATAGGAAATGTATCCAAGGACAGACATCAAGGATCTGTCTGGATCAAGTACAATATGAAATACATTCATTTGCAGAATTTGGAAATTGACCTCAAATTACTTTCAAATACCATAGTAATGACCTCATTATTACATTAATTAATCTGCTACACTGTAAGAAACAAAACAAAATGTAAACACCAGCAGACCTGGTTGCCAGAATTCTGTCATAAAATTATGGATAAAACATTTTTTTTTTTCCGTCACAGTTTGAAGGCACCGTCATTGTTAATTTTATGGTTGAAAATTATGCTGGAGTTAACATTTTACTATAATAGAGATTGTTTTAACTTAAAGGGTGGGTGGGGGGGAGGCGGAAAAAAAAGTTTATGTATAAAAAAACACTTTAAAACATCAAACAGCTGTTTTCACCGATTATTTTATTCACAGCCACTTCACATGAAATTGACAGTTTTATAGTTTTTATATATTTCCTGTCAGCTTTATTGTAACAAGAGCAGATTAATTAAACTAAACATTTTCTGACCACTTGGGGGCGCCAACAGGTTGAACATTAAGCTGTCTGGCCTTTTAGAAATCTCCACAAAACCTTTGGTGATTTGTAGTGCAAAAAACAAACCAAAAAAAGGAAGGTTAACTTTACCTGAGTAGTTGTTTATCATATTGCGTTTGACCGGAGTAATTTTAGATAATGCCACACGGTGTCACTGTTGGCTGTAATGTAAACAAACAAACAAACAAACAAACAAACAAACAAACAGAGAGGTGAATCTGGATAATTTGCCACATAAAAAAAGAAGAGCGCAGTGGGAGAGAGCAAGAGCCAAACAACTTCTGAAGGACCTACACTTGTGCCCTCAACATTTCTCTCCACAAGTCATTTGTATGAGCAAAATTGACAAAGGCTCTAACAGGTGATCGTTGCTTCAACGAGCAAAAAAATAAATGCCATGCTGAGACAGGTGGAGCTGGAAGCTAACCGAGTTATACTTCCTCCGGTACTGAATATGAAACCACTCACCCTACTGGACCAAGACTGGACCATAAATAACTATTACCGAACTGGACACAGCTATAGAATGACTTACTGGATCACACAGTCTGACCAAAAGTAAGTGTAGCAGCAGCAGCAGCAAAACACCAGCAGCTCCTACGGCCAATTCTCTCCTCTTCCTCTGTTTGGTCCTCCTCACCTTCATCACCTCTTGTGTTTTCTACATTCTGATTGGTTTCAGTCCGCTCCGGTTCAATTTGAAAAGGCTTAATGACGTTGCTCATTGCTGTTTTGGCCGGATGGAGCTAGCGCAGTTTGACCAATAGATGTCATTTACCCAGAATGCATTGCAGCGTGAACAACAAGGCGACGTTCGTGTGACAATATGTTTTTTTTACATTCTATAAAAACTAAACAGTCTACAGTATTATTAGTATATTGTTTTTACATCTAAAATAAATATTCTCAAGTAAAGTGAATTGTTGCAACTAATCATGGATCCCTTTAAAACTGAGAGAGTTTGGTCACGTAAACTACAACACACGATCTGACAGTTTTTCATGATGGACACAAAAACGAGTTGTACTAGAAACCAGTTAACAACTTACAGTGCCTATCATAAGTACGTGTTATATACCCACTGAGGTTTTTGTGTTGTGTTTTGTCCACTAGAGTTTTTAAATTAGAAGAGAACACACAAGAGACGATCTGTTTAGACTTTATTGCCAAACATTCATGTTGGATATAGTGCTGGATGTTTGAGCTGCTGATTTACTCAGTAGGGCGAATCTTCATGCTGATGGCCTTGAGAGAATACATACTGCCCTTCCAGCTGTCCCAGATTACTCCAACCTCAAATCGAGTCCCTTCACTGCCCCAGGTGTAGACTCCGTTTGGGTTTCCATACTGGCATGTCGGGCCGAACCAGAAAGCTCCCAGAAAATGTTTTGGACAGTTTTCCGACCCAATGTGTTGATAATAGTCAAAAGTAGCAAATTTATGAAAATGGAGATATGTCAGGGTGTCTCCTGCAGGAAAATATGGAAGTTAAAGACAAATACATTGTTTATCAAGGGGGTTTCATAACCTTCATCTGTCTGAATATACTAAAACGGTAACTGCTTACCTGGAACACCAAGACAAGAAAGCAACAACAAATCAGTCAAGCTTTATTAGCAGAATCCAATCCATATCATCATTGCATAAAAACATAAAATCTAACAGGATAATAGAAAACATGCTGAAGCACATAGTGTGAAGACATCACCAACTATAAACCTCCAAGCTTCACATGGCCTTCATATGAAGTTTGGAACCAGTCATTTAGGTTTTCCTGAGCTCTCTCTGTAGTTTCTTCTCCTCACTGCTACATGTTTGTGACTTCCTGACTCAGCTTGTTCTGAAACCCACCTGCTCCTCCATCGATGAAACCGGCCACGTACAGAGGATATCCTTCCCACTCAGGACCCACACTGAACGAGGTGTAATGAGCGTATGCCTTGTTTCCTTCAAAGTCCTCCATGTCCACTACCAGCTCATACGGTTTCTGACGGATTAAGTTGTGGAGTCTTTCCAGTCCTGAAAGAAGAGTTACAAAGTTCAGTTTTTGTCTTTTTAACACATTTCAGCGTTGTTGCTGTTTATGAGCTCCTCTTCAGGTGAGAACAGGATGTCTCACATTGTATTTTCATTTAAAATATAACTACTTCTTTTTTTTTAGGTTTATTGACTCGAGTGGCCTTAATTTGGCAGTGAATTGACAGGAAAATGGGAAATGAGAGCTGGGGCAGACATGCAACTAAAGCCATCAGGCCGGGACTTGAACCGGCTGCGACTACGGTCAGTGTTTCCAGTTTGGTTCTCACCAAGCCAGTACTCTCCAGCGGGATTCCCAAAGCCCAACTTGTAGTCATTCCATTTCCTGTAGAAGCTAACTGAGCCATCCATCCTCCTCTGGAACACCTGGTGGGAAGAAAATGTGATTAACCATTAAACTTCTGAAGCAGTCTTCCAGTTCAAGGAGTTTGCATTCACCACATGTCATGCTTCGCCTGCTGAGCTCTTTCTGCTACGTGACATTGTCTGACAATTTGTGCAGGATCCCCAAAATGATGCAGGCGATTGCTTCAGTGGCAGCTCAAGAGGCCCTGCATGCAATATGTTAATTCATATATCTAAAAATGTAGTTTTGACTGGTCATATTAATGTTTGAGATGTGTTAATTTGGAATCCAGTAACACCAACTGAGAAATCTTGAAAAGAATTTTGAACCGTCACAATGTTGTCTTGAATAATTTTTCTTGTGAGTCAGAATGTAAATGCAGATATTTGAAATTAGTGGATTACATTAAGGATTCAAATGTAGTCAAGTCTAGTCAAACTTTATTCTTATATATCTGGAATGCAATTACAGTCAGATGAAACAATTTCTATGTTAAAACGGTCTGCCACGGTGGTGCAGCCTAAACCCAAATGAGGCAAAAATTAAAATAAAGAAATAAATAACATGAGGTTAGAGAACAAAGCAGATGGGGTGACAACGTCCAGGCAGCCTAACATTGATTACGCAGTGAACTCAAGTTTAGATTGTAAACTATATACTTCTCTATTAAGACTAGAATAAATATATTCTAAATTAATAACTTACATGGTGCGTTCTCGTTTGGTTTTCTCTGAGCTGTGTTAAAAGTAGGGGTGGGCAATTATTGCATCGCTTATCAATTATTGTGATAAATTTCTTATAATGACAAGCTTTTGATTTATCGTTGTCAGAATCAGATCCAATTATGATGTTTAAAATGCCCCAAAACTGCCCTTGTTTGTGGGATTATTTTTTTTTACCATTTTTCTCCATTGTTGGTTCAATAAAGGCGTATAACTTCATATCAAGACATTTGAAAATATGATTAAATACAGTTATTGTGTGGATTTTAATGATATAAATCTTCTTTATGTGACTGATGTCCTAAAGAAACATATTACAAATATTACAAATATTTTTTGAGAGTATCTGTGTTTGTGGGGCTGTTATTGCTGCGTCATGAAGTCACAGCAATAGTTACCTAAAAAAGTGATAAATAGTTCACATCGTTACTTTTATCGTTTTCAAAATAGCACCAAAAAATCCTGATAAAACTTTTAAATCTGTGCTGCATAACATGAATCTTATGGCCCAAATTCAGTCTCATTATTAATAAAAATAAAAGCTCAAAAACGTTTATCTGCCATATAAAAGCATGAAGAGTTTTTATTTGACAGATAAACCAGAGTATGATCTGAGTTCAGATACTCACGGTCCATCTTCCTCCATGTGAGTCCATGTCACAGTAAACCTGCAGACACACAAACTGAAATCTCAGCTTGACTGGTTGATGCTGGTCTGGTGTCTGAATGTAGTTTGGACTATTTGATGGATGGGAAATTGATTAACATGAACAGGTTTCTGGGAATATTGTGAAATATTTTCCCAGTTTTCACGTTAGACAAGAATGAGTCTGTAATTCCAACAGGTGTGAATGTACCTGGACACCAGATGTGGATCCGATGGGATAGATGGTGTAAACTCCACTGGGCCTGCTGGGATTCTGAAGATAAACGTCGTTGCAGTCCAAAATCTGACTGCTGGCCAACAGAGGAACCAGCAGGAGGAGAAGAGCTGACAGCAGCTGCAGCAGAGGAACACGTTACGTCTCCGTTTCACAACGTTTACCGAATATTTCTTCCTGAAGTTCGTATCATGAAGCTCCAAAGTAAAGCAGAGAACATTTCCTGAGAGAACCTCGTGTCTCCAGAGAATGTTTCAGCTTCATGACCCGTCACTACCAAGGAACATTCAGAGTTGACCGTGCTGAGCTCACCTTCATAGCCAGAGTTGAGCTGCTGCTGGGATGTGAACTGTGATGTATGTTAGCTGGAGTTTTTCTGAGTTCTGCCGCAGGAATCTGATGACAGTCTGAGGGTTCTCACCTGCTTTTATCACCAACAGATTAATAAATGACCGAGCAGCTGCTGCTGGTCACCGATAACATTCAGACTGGACGGGTGGAAACATGAGTCCTTCACAGCTGTGGACTTGAGGCTGATGGTGAATGATGACTGAGGTCTGAAAACAAAAAAACACCACCTGATGGACGGATTAAAACCGTTTAAAAAGTCAGAGAAGTGAGTTCATTCTGAAATCATTTCTTGATGGTTTACACTGAAGGTTGGCACTTCCCCTCATTGTCTGCTTCCTGTGTGCACATGCGAGCTGCCAGCACACAAAAAAAATCATTCCATGCCACATATTTCTGTGTTTTTTGTTATAATGTTCATAAGTTTCATGACTGTAATCTTTCTTTTACTGAGCCCTGTATTCTAGAGTTTTTGTATTTTTATTTTTTGCTTTTTAAGTCCCTTGCAGGTGCCCTGCAGCTGCAGTCAACCATGCATTGAGATTAAACCTCCTCAGATTACAATTATAACAATAATTAACAATTATTAATTTCTTTAACAGTGTTAAAATATGGAGTCATTTGGACTCCACAAGTTTTTCATTCTGTGGACAATCTGGCATGGTCGCATTGTGTGTTTTTTGTTTTTACAAGGTATTTTTTTGTGCGAGTGGTTTTGGGAATTGACTCTCTGACGGTACAACCCCGCCGCTTCCCCGATGTGTCACCGTGACTTTTGCCACGCTCCTCCTGAGTGACAGCTAAGACCGTGGGAGGGTTATCGACTTACTAAATATGTTTTTGGGATATTTGTAGCTCAGCAGCTTGGTTCAACATCTGTCCCATATCCCATACCTTTAGAGGTGGGACGTTTACTCCATCCTCATTGGCTGATTCTCCCATCATTATCCATTTGTGTCATGAAAAACAGGTGCAGGTACAGATTCAGAAATGTCTGCTTCTCTGCAGGGTGTCAGGCCCAAGGCATAAGCAATCTAAGCAGCTGCTTAGGGCTGCTAAGTGGAGCAGCTTTTTTTATTTCTATGTGATTATATTAACAAAAACACACAATTTCATCATAAAGTTGTGATTAACAAAAATAAAACAATAATATATGTTTGATCATGTAGAAATCATTCTTTATACAGGCAGAAAGGAGGCCACCTGGGAGCTCCCTGGTGGCCATAGCAAGTCAGACATCACTGCAGAGCGCATCCAAAAGTCCGAAGATAAGTTAGCAAAACAATGTCGTAATAAAGGACTTATCCTTCAGGCACAGAGAAAAGAAAGAGGAAGAATAGAAAAAGTCTAGATAAAGGAATGTTTTCATGTCTGCTGGTAATGTAAACGATATGTGGAGCTGCTAATAGAAAAGTAGCTTGATGGCGACCTTGAAAGATGAAGTTCATCTACCAAACATTTATGCTAGTGTCTTTGTATTTGTGTGAAACTGAGTTTTAACTTTAAATGAGTTGATTCTCTGGATTTGCCGGGCAAAAGGGGCCTGTGCCCCCGCAAACAAATGTCTTGCCACCTGAAATGAAACTTGTCACAATTAACAGAACATCTCCTTATTTAAGATAATGAGTTACTGAATGTGTGTTAATCACATCTGCTAACTGACTTTGAATTTTTCTTCAGTGGAAGTCAAGTTTTATAAAAATGCAGAGGAATCAGTAGAAAATACTTTCTTATGAAAATGTTTTGTTTTATTACAGTAGTATAACTATTAGGTACTGAATAGTGACATTTCCCTTCTTGTAATAATGATAAAGTAGTTTTGTAATCTCTGAGTGGTTCTATTGAAGACAGGGAGATGAGTTAGATCTAGTAAAACATGATCTGAGATTTATTCATATTGAGCAAAAGGAAGGGTGGTACTAAAAGTCATTAGTATTAATAAATATTGTCTTAAGTTTTATACTTTCTGTGTTGTGTTTTTATCCAGTAGAGATTTTTAAATGAGAAGGTAAACATCTTCAGGGAGTTTGGACACAAAGAGAACACATAAGAAATGATCTGTTCAGCCTTTATTGTCAAATATTCATGTTGGATGTGACAGCTTCCTGTTGGAGTTCTGAGCTGCTGATTTACTGAACAGGGCGGATCTTCATGCTGATGGCCTTCAGAGAATAGTCGGGCTGATTGTACTGGGCCTTCCAGTGGTACCAGATTACTCCAACCTCATAGTTAGATCCATTAGCGCCCCAGATGTAGACCCCGTTTGGGTTTCCATAGTAGCACCTCCAGTACCAGAAGGCTCCCAGAAAAAGCCTTGCACAGTTTTCGGGCCCGGCGTGCTGGTAATGGTCAAAGGTTTGCCAGTTATTTCCATTGAATTGTCCCAGAGAGTTTCCTGCAGAAAAATATTTAAATCAAAGACATTGTTTTTTATCTAGTGGTTTTAATAACTTTTATCTACTACGTGAATATGCTGAAAAGGTAGCTGGTTACCTAGGGTACCAAGGTATTTGTCCTCATTTGTAGGAGAGAAGCTACAAATAAGTCAAACTTTATCAGCAAACTTGGGTCCATAGATAAACAAGACCAATATACAGATCTTATAAAACAGAGCTGCATAGATCCAAGATCTAAAAGCATTGGGCTCATAGAGAAACAAATGAAGGCATTAAATAGGAACTCGGTTTCCATATAGAGATTTGGTTTATAGTTTACACTCATGGGTAAAAGTTAGGACCAGTTCCTTAAGCTGATGGATGACACATCTGCTGATGACTGAAGTGAAGATAATTGAAACCTGAACTTATTTAGGTCAAAAGTACAACATAGCTCAACCTAGAAAGTATAATCTTGCACTGCAGGTATGAAGTTTCAGTAAAGATTAAGCTTATTGTTATTTAAGTTTTCCTGAGGTCTCTCTGAACTTACTTCTCCTCACTGTTACATGTTTGTGACTTACTGACTCACAGCTGGTTCTGAAACCCACCTGCTCCTCCATTGATGAAACCACCCACGTTTAGACGATACCCATCGGACTCGGGACCCACACTGAATGAGGTGTAGCGAGCATACACCTTGTTTCCTTCAAAGTCCTCCATGTCCACTACCAGCTCATACGGTTTCTTCTGAGTGAGGGAGTAGATGTTCTCCAGACCTGGAAGAAGAGTTACAAAGTTCTGGCTGTTCTTCAATTCATTGTTGTTCTTTCTTATAAGCAGCATTTCAGGTCAAAACATCATGTCTTATACTGTTTTAATTTAAAACATAATTGAGGTGTTTTTACGCCTCCCTGCCTCTGGAGCTCATTGGATTATCTTTGACTTACTGAGATAGAATTAGCTTCTTCTGACTGACAAGAAAAACCTTTACTGTGAGGATCTGCTAGCCGCTGTAGTGTGTTTTCCGGTTCACAGTCAGTCAGTGTTTCCAGTTTGGTTCTCACCAAGCCAGTACTCTCCATCGGCGTTCCCAAAGCCCAACTTGTAGTCATTCCAGTTCCTGTAGAAGTTTACCGTGCCGTCCATCCTTCTCTGGAACACCTGGTGGGAAGAAAAGGTGATGAACCAACTGAACACATTGTTGAATCCATCAGTGAGGACTGATGGATTCAACAATGAGAGGATTCTGGGATGCTGTACCACTATAGGTCTCAGTTTGAAACATCAAATTTTAACTTGATTTCTCTCCAAGTTCTCATTTTGTCGAAAATTCCTCCAAGCTGACTGAAAGCCTGTTTGGATGAAAGTGCCAGACTAGAGGTTTTAAATGACTTCAGAGCACAGAATCTACACTCCTAACAGTTTTAAAATTGCATCTATATCATCATTTTAACTGTTACAATCACTACCTATTTACCCCACTGGGAGCATCATTAACACTGCGGTGGTTCAGATCATAACAGAGGTTCCACAGGGCTTGATTCTTGGACCTGTGCTGTTTTCTTTGTATTTCCTGCCTGTTCTATTCCTAGGAAGCACAGCACTGCTTTCTATTGCTATGCCAAAGATAACCAGATTATGGGTGACTAAAACTTAAGGATCATTTCTCTGTGTAAGCATCAAATAACTTTTTTATGGAAGTGAAATCTTGGTCACCTAAAGAACATGAAGTGTTTTTATTTGACAGATAAACCAGAGTATGATCTGAGTTCAGATACTCACGGTCCATCTTCCTCCATGTGAGTCCATGTCACAGTAAACCTGCAGACACACAAACTGAAATCTCAGCTTGACTGGTTGATGCTGGTCTGGTGTCTGAATGTAGTTTGGACTATTTGATGGATGGGAAATTGATTAACATGAACAGGTTTCTGGGAATATTAAGAATGGTGAGTTTATAATTCCAACAGGTGTGAATGTACCTGGATACCTGATGTGGATCCGGTGGGATAGGTGGTGTAAACTCCACTGGGCCTGCTGGGATTCTGAAGATAAACGTCGTTGCAGTCCAAAATCTGACTGCTGGCCAACAGAGGAACCAGCAGGAGGAGAAGAGCTGACAGCAGCTGCAGCAGAGGAGCACGTTACGTCTCCGTTTCCCAACGTTTACCGAATATTTCTTCCTGAAGTTCGTATCATGAAGCTCCAAAGTAAAGCAGAGAACATTTCCTGAGAGAACCTCGTGTCTCCAGAGAATGTTTCAGCTTCATGACCCGTCACTACCAAGGAACATTCAGAGTTGACCGTGCTGAGCTCACCTTCATAGCCAGAGTTGAGCTGCTGCTGGGATGTGAACTGTGATGTATGTTAGCTGGAGTTTTTCTGAGTTCTGCCGCAGGAATCTGATGACAGTCTGAGGGTTCTCACCTGCTTTTATCACCAACAGATTAATAAATGACCGAGCAGCTGCTGCTGGTCACCGATAACATTCAGACTGGACGGGTGGAAACATGAGTCCTTCACAGCTGTGGACTTGAGGCTGATGGTGAATGATGACTGAGGTCTGAAAACAAAAAAACACCACCTGATGGACGGATTAAAACCGTTTATTGAACCACAAGCCTGTTGGTTAGCAGTGTTTGTCCACAGACCTCATCATAATATTTTGTGCACAAACACATTCAAATAAATAAATGAGTGAAAGTTTTTTTAGGACTTTGAACTGAACGATGCTGTTTTTTTAAGTCAGAAACGAGGTGAGAATTAATTTTGACGTTATTTAACGATGCTCTGTTTGGGGACGAGCAAAAGATTTAAACTGGATTTTAGTAGTTTCGGGGGGAAAAAAACTCACGTTTTTCAATTAAACGTTTTTGGAGTTGGATGAGATGGTTCTTCAGCTGTTTTGCAAAACTGCAACACAAACTTTTTTCGCATCACACAAGTCACATGATCAACAGCTGGCTGTTGCTACTGACAGAAATTACAAAAAAGAAACAGGAAGTAGAAGTAGGATGACACTTTGCTTTTGTGCTTTTCTGGCTCCACCAGAGCTCTCACAGCATCACACAGTTTATAAAAAGTTGTGTGTCATTCAAACATGCCGAATCAATAGCTCTTATGTAAAAATCCTAAGATTACAATACAACCCAAAATGCCACATACACAGCCGCTCCCAGGTGTAAGTGGTTTGTTTCATTCAAACGTCTGCTCTGATGGCTGATCGATAAGCGCTAGCACCATGTCTGAATTATGAATATCATGTAACGGTTGACAGTTTTCTGTTTGCTGTCATGACTTATCACACGAACTAACTTATTCATGTGTGATTTTAATTAAATTTCTTATTTAATGGAAACACTGCAATTGCGAAATAGTAATTTTCCAACATTAGCAGAACATCGACAAAGATTTGTGCACATTTTTAATGGAAACACCTCTAGAGATGCAGAAGTTCTTGGTAAATCTGTTGTCAGTTGTGGGCTCGACACACGGGGGACGACGAATGACGAGAAGCGACAGTTTTCCAACATCCAAGGTGTTTGCTCTGCAATCGTGTAACATTTAGAAACCGGGAGCAATCAACCTTTGAGAATGGAGCAAAACCTCCCACCCAGTCGGCTGTGAGAAGTGGAGCAGATGGTGGGAGACGCATTACAAAAAAGAAATCGCCCCGCTATCAGTTAGGTATTGACTAATACTGATAACTTTTGACATCTTAAATTGTTTAAATTGAACATATCAGATAAGCTTATCTAGTAGTTAGTAAAGGAAAGTTTAAACCATGAGGAAAAACCTGATTTTATGGAATGTTTTTTTTGTGGTGTTTGATGTAACGTCCATATGTTTCATAACTATAATCATTTTTCCATTCAGACTTGTAGAGGTTTTTTTTTTTTTTTTTTTTGTTGTTGTTTCTTCAGTCCCCTGTAGGTTACCACGGTAACTGCTGTCCTCTCAGATGATATGTCGACCTGAAACCTCCTCAGTCGGGACTTTCAAGATGTTATCAGTTACCAGCATTTATAATAACTCTGCAG